TTTTGAACACAAGTTCAGTGTGAGACCCGATCGGTGTGTAAATAAAAAACCTGTTACTTCCTGCAGACTTGTGTCCATATCTCTATGTGTGGCTTCTGCGGTTTGTTCCTGTTATTCCTCCGGTAACAGAGGCTCTTGCAGGGTCTAAAAGCTATTAACATAGCAGGGGATAGGAAAATCTTAATTAAACAGAACTTGCAATAAAGAAAGCCTAAATAGGGCTCTCTTTACAGGAAGTGTTTATGGAAGGCTGTGCAAGTCACATGCAAGGAGGTGTGACTTGGGTTCATAAACAAAGGGATTTAACTCCTAAATGGCAGAGGATTGAGCAGTGAGGCTGCAGGGGCAAAATGGTAAATCCATTCATATGCTATGCAGTCTTGTAATATTTATAACTTTTCTGTTAGTCTTTTGGATCTTTATTATGTAAGTGGCAGACTTACTACTGACTAAATCCACTAACATTTTTGCAGACAGCATGAATATTAAAATTACACACAGAGGAGAAAAAAAACATGTACAATATATAACCAGAAAGGCTGTACTCACCTAAACATGCATACATTATAAGAGTGATGCTGAGGTCAATTAATACAATGTACAGTATCCAGCGTATTCACTCAACCAATCACTAAACACCAACATCAAAACTCGCAATATTTTGTAAGCTTTGAAGTTGGTGTTAAGCAAATTAGTGTTCTGGATTCTGAATTTTGTAGAAAAAAAAACAAACATTCTGACTGGCATTTAAAAACTCAATACTTAGAAAAGCTGGAATGTTTATTCACTAAACACTGAATTACAGTGAAATTAAATTGCAAAATTGAGTGACTATAGCCTAGTTGGAGAATTATTCAAAAGTATAGCAATTGCCTAAATGTTGCATTTTTGTTTTCTTTATCAATACAATTTAGCATGTATTGAATAAAGCCCATACTCTTAATCATACATATGTTTTATGGAATAAAAATACACATTTGTTGATTGTAACATGTAGGATCACATTACCTATTATTCCTAGCACCTCATGAACATAGTGATGGTTGAAAGTCATTTTGAATTTACCTTCAGCTGCTCGTTTGAAAAAGACCTTGCAGCTGCCACAGGTAAGTGCCCCATAATGACAGCCAGATGCTTCATCCCCACAAATCATACAGGACTTCTGTGGTGGGAAGTAGTAATCAATGGGCAGCAAGTGATCTCTGCCAGCCTCCATTCTGCAGAAAAAAAAGCTCATGTAACTTCATATAATATATACGCAATGAAAATAAATAAAACAATGTCTCAAACTAAGCCTCCGTAAACACAAATTACGTTATTTCAACACTATACAACTATTTCTCATGTCTTTTACCTTGCCAGTCAACACATCCCTCCATCTCATTATTTGTTAGTGCTTTCCCTTTCCTCATATTTCAGCCATATATCATTGCCCGCGCCATCTATTCCTTACCCAATAATCAATATCCTTCCCCCTCTAGTTAATCCAAATCTCACCTCGCTTTCCCTTGTTTCTCCCCCTTATTAGCCCTGTATCCTTCTCACATCTGCTACCCCATCACAAATCCTGTACATTCTCCACAACATATCTTCATACCGGTCAGAGCCTTATACACTAACTTACAGGAAATTGCGTATCAAACAGAGGTACTAAATAGACAAAGTCAATTATTGCCAAGGTCAGGATTATAGAAATATGGATAAACAGATAAACAAGACAGGTCAGGATTCCAGAAATACTCAAAGTCAGAAATGAGCCAGGTCAGCATACCAGAAATATACAAAGTCAACTACAAGCCAAGGTCAATATCAGGATATCAATATAGACTTACTATAAGCATTAAACATGTATCAGGCCAAAACCCATAGTAGGATACAGAAGAAAGACCCAAATAAGCTTTATATAGGATTAGATCATTTTTGATTGGTCATCGTCATCTCTTCAACTCCAAAAGGTATGATAATGGGGTCACCTAGACAACGTAGACACTTTAAAGGACCACTCTAGGCACCCAGACCACTTCAGCTTAATGAAGTGGTCTGGGTGCCAGGTCCAGCTAGGGTTAACCCATTTTTTCATAATTATAGCAGTTTCAGAGAAACTGCTATAATTATGAATGGGTTAAGCCTTCCCCCAAAGCCTCTAGTGGCTGTCTCATTGACGGCCACTAGAGGCGCTTGCGTGCTTCTCACTGTGATTTTCACAGTGAGAGCACGCCAGCGTCCATAGGAAAGCATTGTAAATGCTTTCCTATGAGACCGGCTGAATGCGCGCGCAGCTCTTGCCGCGCGTGCGCATTCAGCCGGCGGGGCGTAACGGAGGCGGAGAGGAGGAGGAGAGCTCTCCGCCCAGCGCTGGAAAAAGGTAAGTTTTTACCCCTTTCCCCTTCCAGAGCCGGGCGGGAGGGGGTCCCTGAGGGTGGGGGCACCCTCAGGGCACTATAGTGCCAGGAAAACGAGTATGTTTTCCTGGCACTATAGTGGTCCTTTAATAGTGAGTGTGATGTTACATAATTTAAACAACATAAGGAATTGCGTCCAACAGACTGTAGGGAAGAAGTGGCTGTCTGCTGAATTCGGCTTACGCGAACCATGAGGAGTGGCCAGTTTGCAGGTGCCCAATTGGTAAGTATAATCAGCATTTGCTATTTCTCTTTTCAGGTCATGTGGCATGATGAGCAGGTAAGTTTGTCACAATACCACAAAAACACTATTGCAAATGTAAAAAAACTAAACACCACCGCATTTTAGGCAGCTTAGAATTTTAAGAGGACTGGACCTGGAGCTTAAGTTCCACCAGACCCTATGCTAATCTGACACTGAATATTGATTCATATGAATGGAAAGTTAAGAGTGTGAGGTATACTTACCAAATCCGACCTTTTCAGCATTTTCAATTGTAGTGATGAAACTAATACATAAATTGTGCTCTATGCACTGTGCTGGCTTGGGCCCATTCCTTGTTGTACCAAGTTCCGGGACACCAGGAGACAAAACTGAGATGGCCAGATCAGAGCACAAGTGGAAAGGTTGGGGGGGTGGAGTCTGGCAGCCAAGCAGCCCAGACCTGCTAAGCCAGTGCTCCCGCATCTGGCGACTAAAATTGGTGTGCCTTCCCTAGCAATCTGCACTCACGGACCGCAGCTTGATCCACTGATCTTACTCGGGAGAGGTCGCTGTACCCTGCGGTACCTTTCCCTGGCTCAAATGAAGCCAAACTGACTCACTTGAGGCTTGTGACCTATACAAAGCTGAACCACAGGGAGACGGCCACTCTCCTGGCTCTTAAACTGAAGCTGGGACCCCGGTGAATTGCATCCTCCCCCCCAGACCTGCAGGGGTTCTCGGTCCCCACTGATCAGCCCCATCACCTGGATGAACACAGGTAGATAGTACTGCAGGGTACCGAGCTGCAACATTTCTTCTCAAAATGGTGGACGTCCCTTCCTCCTGCGGGCCTTGACCACAGTCAGCAGAGCCAGATGGGTGCGCCACACTAGATCGAATACTGAGGCATCTATACTAAATTTTCACCGGGTTCTGGGAGCAGCTGGAGGCACAAACGGCAGCAGCAACAACTGGGAGACAGAAGAGTGGACAGAGGCAGGCAGGACATAGAGTGTGTAGGCCCCCGTTGGGCGCAACCACCCACCAAGCATCTAAGCCTCACCTGGGCTGAGAGCCAACAGGGATTTTCCCCATTGCATCTACCACAGCGGCGGAAGCACGTACACCGCAGGTGGCAACCGACCACCCAGAGTTTCCGTCACCTCCTGGAGAGGAAGAACTCGGACTCGACTGTGAAACCCCTGGTCCATGGCACTATGATGCAGGCCCTCAACAAGACCCGGGGCTGGAGAGGGGTGACGCATAGCCCATGCCTGGGACTACCTCCAGGCCATGCCTTGGTGTCGGCTGACACTGGACTCTCTAACTAGGGCTAGCTTCGCAGAGTGCAGCATTTACCCATATGCCCTGAGCACCTAATTTCCAAGTATGGGTATTGGGTGAAACATGCAATCTCCCATGGAGTAACTCGTCAAATTCACAAGCTCCCCTGATGCCTGCTACTTTTTTTACTCCATGTTATGCCCTTATCCCTAGCTTGATTTATTTCTGTTACCACAGAGAGGATCTGTTAATTCTGTTCCACCTTAGACCATAGCAGTACAGTTATACGCTAGAGATCTCAGGATACATGGCCACATACTCAAATAAATATGCCCTAATATGCAATGTTACTGTTAAGAGTCAGCCATCATGCCTAGCTACCATATTTTGTTCATAATAATTGTGTATGATATTAGCTTTGACAAGTTGAACCAACCTGTGTTATATTATTATGTCTTTACTTAAAATGCAGTCTTGACAGAGTGTGTTGTGCCTCGGTGGCTAAACTGCTATGCTAAACCGTTTTCCTACTCTTGTATTTCTCTCCTACACTCAGACAATGGTATACCGCATACCGCATACCGCATACCTAGCTTGTTTAACTCCTTCTTTATTAAATATAAAACCGTGCATGTGTTCTCGAATACCCCAATGTAAAGATAATGTGCTTGAGGATTGCCGTTGGGGTACCTCAAGCTTTTTTATTCTATTCGTATGCACTGCAAAAATAAAAAATAAAAATAAAAAGTGGAAAGGTCCACTGGGAGAGTCAGGGTACAAGCTGATATAATATCAGAGTTAGATGTTCAACTGTGTGAAGAATTTTTACAGTAATTTCTTTTTGGTGTCAACTAGTCTTCATCTGGGTCTTGGGGGGAGGGCACTAATGCTATCATAATCATTTAAGTGAGCTGTAGTGGTTATGGTGCTAGGAGTGTTTCTTTACCATACATTTCAGGCAGACAATATGAAGTATTCATAACAGGCACAATACTTACATTACTTACATTACACATATAAAACGGAAAGGAGGACCACGAGAGTCCTAAACAGGAGAGTAATATGAAGAGGGGAAAAGGAGTCCCTACCTTTTAATAATTCTAAAGAATTCAGTTCCCAAATTTAGAAGTGAGATTGAAGACTAATTTGGATAGATTTTCTTACCAAATCAAAATTAAAAAACACCATAAATTCGTTAGGGACACTACGGATTTTGAGACTGGAAGAGTCTATCGACAGACCAAAAGGAAGGTCAGGATCGACTCTGATCATTTCAGTACTTCTGAATATGAGTCGACTGACAATGAGGGAGAAAATATAGCTACTACATCTACACAAATTGAACCTAAAAGTATATTGAGGAAGGGTGTAGATTTTTTAGGCTTACGACAGGCGGACGAACTTCAGCGTCCCAGAACAAGACAAACACAGAGAGGCAGGGGTCAGAGAAGACCACGACGCCAATAACTAATGACTTAAGGATAATCAATTTGTCCTCAGTCACAATAACGGACATGCAATCTCAAACTCTTTCTAAAGGCTTATCCTTTGTGCCCACACCTCCCTTTAACAAATTTATGTGGACAAAGGATCTGAACCTATTCGCCCGTAAATTGGCTTTACACAAATATCATACACATAAAAAAGAATTACGAGCATCCAGTCTGGGGTTGACAATTAAGGACATGGATTGTCTGGAGACTCTGATTGAACTCCTTGACTCCAACAATTCCTAGGATATTAACATTCCAATTACCCAACTTGCACCTAAGAGCCGCTTCACACCACATTTAAAAGACTATAAGAATATTGAAGTCTTCCTTGATATGGTATGTGGAGAAATTGAAAAAGTAGAACTGGGGACTCTGAATATAGAACCCATTGGGAATCTCACTAGAATAGAAAAGTTGGCACTGAAGCAACTGAAGGAGAATGATCAATTGGTTATTAAACCATCAGACAAGGGGGGCAACATAGTCCTTATGGATCACTCTAAATATACACAGATGGTAAAAAACTTGTTAGATGATCGAGAAACCTACCAGGTATTAAATCATGATCCAACTATGCAATATCTTGTTGAGATTAAGGCTATGCTAAGTCAAGCCCTAATGGAAAATCTTATTACCAAAAACGAATTTGAGTTTATGCTGGTAAAACAACCAATACTCTCAACCTTCTATAGTTTACCTAAAGTTCACAAATCTCTAGAAAGCCCGTCAGGTAGACCAATTGTTTCAGGTTGTGGGAACCTAACCCAAAATCTGAGCATCTTTTTGGATAAGATTTTGTCTCCTATGGTTGCAAAATTACCCTCTTACATAAGGGACACGAAACAGATGCTTAATTTCTTGAAGGATATCTCCATACCGGAACAAGCACTTCTATGCAGTCTGGATGTGGAGTCTTTGTATAGTTCCATACCACATATTCAAGGAATTGATAATATCAGAACTATCCTTGAACATGAATTGCACACTCCAGTCGCATACACAGATTTTGTTTCCAACATACTTAAAATGGTCCTTACAAGAAATATCTTTATCTTTAATGGTACCATCTATCAGCAAATTAGGGGGACAGCTATGGGGACTTCCTGTGCCCCCTCATATGCTAATCTCTATTTGGGGACCTGGGAAAATCTCATTAGATCAGCCCCACATTTGAGCTACTTTATGGAGATGATATTCTGTTGGAAACGCTATATAGATGACGTTCTGGTCATATGGACAGGGAGCAAAAAAGATTTTGAGACCTTTGTAAGTCTCCTTAATGTGAATGATCTGAATCTAAGATTCACTAGCGAGATAGGCGGCAAACAACTTAATTTTTTGGATATTACTATAACCATTTCCGGAGGAAGGGTCTCAACCACCCTTTATAAAAAACACACTGCCACCAACAGTCTGCTAAATTGGCATAGTCATCACCCCCAACCCCTAAAGGCAGGTATACCAATTGGGCAATACCTAAGATTGCGGCGTAATTGCTCTTCCATAGATGACTTCAAAGTCAAGGCATGGGATCTGAGGCGAGCCTTTAAGGATAAGGGCTATCCCAATAGAGTGTTACGCAGAGCGTACACTAGAGCAATCAGCACCGAACGTGAGTCACTTTTAACAGATGTTAAGGTGCAAGCACAAGATCAAAAATTAATCCGATGTATTGCCACGTATGATGCAGGTTGGGACTTTATGATGGGTACACTGAAGCGTTTTTGGCCAATCCTAACATCTGATCCACAAATCAAACAGGTAGTCACCATGTTTCCCTCTGTGACAGCACGGAGGGGCAAAAACTTACGGGATACATTGGTGCAGAGCCATCTATCCCCCCCTAAAAGAGGGTCTCAAAACTATTTGCCCAAGGGGACGTATAGGTGCGGACACTGCAGCGCATGTGAATTTATTGATCAAAAATCTAAGGAATTTACGGACAGTAGTAATAAAGAAACCTTTTCAGTCCACTCGTTTATCAACTGTAGGACGGAAGGTGTCATTTACTTACTTACCTGTTCATGTGGCGTTAAATATGTGGGGAAAACGTTTAGACCTTTCAAACTAAGGATTAGGGAACATGTAAATTCGGTTAGAAGACCCTTAGAAACCCCAATCTCACGTCATTTGAGAATTCACCATTTGAATTCTGCCAACAAACTAAAGTTCATGGGAATAGAACATATCCCACAAACTCAACGTAAGGGCGATTGGGATAAGAAACTGAGACAACGTGAATCCTATTGGATCTACAGGCTCAAGACCCTCTCCCCTGCTGGCCTAAATGAGGGTTTTTCCTTTACCGCTTTTCTCTAATTTGCCATATCTCTCGACATATTTTCCCCTGTCTCTATTCTCTCTATTTTCTCTCTCTACATTGGATATAAACAATTTATAGGGAAATTTTCATTAGTCCCCCGATGGATTAAATATATCACATTACTAATGAACACACTATTATGATCTTTTTATTTTGCAAAACTTCTTTTGTTCCCAAATGCTTATCACCTGGACTTTATGTCATCAACTTTTTTGGATTGCGAGCCTTTACTATAACGTCTTAATCAGCCTCCCGTTATTACATCAATATATTAATATACATATATTATAGCAATTATCTGTCTAGGCTTTTTAATTATGTCCACAATTTGGACATATATATCCAGAGGATATGGTTAATATTTACTAATTAATTTTTATTGTGTATCATGTGGCAACATTTGAGCATCTTCAATTTATACTATTTAGTATTAGTTATTACCAGGATATTTATTTAATTTATTATGTTAAGATCGTACAGTATCAGTTATCACCAGGGTATTTAATTAATTATGTTAAGATCATATTGTCACCTAGCGGTCCATAATGGGTCTTTGTCTATGGGAATTTCGTGTATATTTTCATGTTGACTCCATAGGGGCATTATTCACAGTTATTTCCTGTATTTTATCCACCTACCTATGCCAGGACTGTATCTGGCGGATGGACAGACTTTTAAAGACAATGGACCAACGGACAGCCATAGCCTATAACCATCCACTGGTGATTACTACTATTAATAACCAGCGATCATAACGGGACTTTTACTCATTATATTGCTACTAATTTAATAATCCTTAGGAATCACTCATCCGATTTGGGTCTTATGGGGGCACTATTTAAACATTATGCCCCTCGATTCAGTTCAGTATCACGTCTTACGACGTGACTGACAAGTGTCAGATCCAATCGACAGATGGATAGGAGAGATAGGCATTGGACCAACTGCTAACCGATATGTGCGCATGCGCATTGGGCGCTTGTAAACTACATATCGTTATCACTATGTAAACCCTCCTTTAGTTTTATATCCTAATAAAGTTTCCAAATTATATTGTAACGAATAATAAAAAATCCTGTGGATGAATCAACTCATGTGGACATCGTCTAAACCTCATTATTACGCCCCTTCATTCATTCTAAGACCACGTCATATGACGCGGCGGACAAGAGGCGGGCTTAAGAGGTAGCTGACCAATAAGCTAACAGTATTTTCGGCAACACACGTGGTACACAACAGCTGCTTTTCATCTTATAGATTGTAACAAAGTGTATTTAAATCGCTACAGGGAACTCCAAAAGTTTATTGCTCCTGACGACGGCGTGTTGAAACGCTGAAACGCGCGTCGAGCTTCTTTTTATTTTATTTTCTTTGTTTTGCACTTTTTTGGTAGCACTGATGGATTGATTTAATTCAATTTATTTTATCAGTTATTACTTACTTTTGACAGGCAGGGACCGAGTTTCTTTGGTAGGCACTGGTGATTTATCACAGTGCCGAGGTAACTAGAGCAAGTGGACTTTTATAGGAGCTTTTTGCATAATATTTACTCCTTGGGATACCTCCCTTTTCATTTGCTCCCTTTCCCTATTTCTTTAGTTACCCCCTTCTTCAATTAGGGTCCCTGTTTTGGGAAGATTTAGAGGGCGTGCCTTTTAGGATCCTAGACATTTAGCAGGCAG